TCCCCGTACGCGCGAAGACCGGAGAAGGACAACCGGCGGCGCCCGCATCGGCACCGGTGGACGGAGACGGTGGGGAGGGACGAGGGAGAGGAAGAGGGGGAGGGGGGGGGCGGGGCGATGTTTCGGACAGCGATGACGACGACGCTGACGGCGGGGACATCGGCGTGGAAGGAGACGGCGGTGTTGATGGGGTGGGCGCTACCGCCGGCGCCGTTGATTCTTCCGCCGCCGCCACCGGCGGCACCGGCATGAGACGACGGGGGGGGCGGGGGCGAGGAGAGGCCGCGGCGGAGGCAGAGGAGGCAGAAGCAGAAGCACCAGCGGTGCCGCACCCGGGTCCGTTGCCGGACAACATCTACGACAACGGGATGTGGGCGGTGAGAGGCGAAATCTGTTGCTGCTGCTGTTGCTGCTGCTGTTGCTGCTGCTGCTGTTGCTGCTGCTGCTGTTGCTCTGTTGATTCCGTTCTCCCGCCCCTGCGCTCGGAGTAAGTTGAACTTTCGCAACAAGATGGGAGCAGAGACGAAGAAGAGACGCCCTCTTGCATGCCACGCTCCCCACCTCTCTTTGTCGCCCCTCGCTATCTCTAGAATCTTTTTGTTTCGTTTGAGGTTACAACACTCCGTCTCGATTTCCGAAAAGGCAGGCAGGCCTCTGCCCGCGTAGTGTAGGTATCGGTTGGAGCTCCAGCCGGTTTCGTGTACACCCTGAACATGGCACACGCCTACGCTACAAGATCTGGAACCCCCCCGCCACTCCGCGAACAACAACCTTTAACGATCAAACTCGAGCTTTGATAGCGGTTTGCTGGTAGTAGTGTTTTCTGTTTTTTTTTTCAGGTTGCGTGTTCTTGGTTGTGTTTGTGTTTGCGTGTGTATTTTTTTTTCTTCTTTTCTCCCCTCCCGCGTTGGTTGTATTTGCTGGCAAGTCTGTCGTGTTTACCCTGTCCCTGTCATGTCGTGTTCATTTTTGTTTTCGCTTCTTTGACCGGAATCACGTCGCGTTGTTTTGTTTCTTGTTTGACCACAACGTCGTTGTTTTCGTTTTTTTTTGTCTTTCTTCGACCAGAATCTCATGGAAGTTTTGTTTCCGAGAAGCCTGAGGAAAGAGGGAAAGGGCAAAGCCCTCCCACATAGGGACCCCTTCCGACTCAGCTACAAACCCTACTGGGTGCCGGCGTGACGAGACAAAGAAGAGAGCCAGCGATCCAAGGAAACATCCATCACCCCACCTTCTTCCGTGATGTAGGGTTGGCTGTTCGGGCACAACAAGCGCCCTTTGTATCTAGTGGTGTTGTTATTGCTCTTTCGTACACGTTTCTCACGTCTATCTATATCGCTGGGAGTTCGAAGCATCGGTAGATTTGTTGTTCGTTGTTTCCGTCGACGTTGGTGTGTGTGTTATCCTGTGGTGGTGACTACCGTATCCCCGCCGCAGCGTTCGTGTTGCCCGGACCGCGTTTAAGGGAGCTGAGAGAGAACGAGGTTCTGCTGTATGTATCCATATCTCCTTCTTTCTTCCTGCCCGTGATTGCAGCGACACCAGCAGCAGCAGCAGTCTATGTCATGGTTTGTGGCGACACTACTCTACTATTGCAGCCCCTTTCGGTCAACGTCTTCTATTCGTCTGTGGGATGGTAACAGATGAGCAGTGCTTGTGTACGTACGCTGTGTTTTTGTTTTCGGGGTGGCACGGCGACGAAAGAGATTGGATGCTGATACGATACGTCCGGTTGCTGGTCGCGGGGGCGCCTTGCGTCACCCCCCTCCCCCCCCCCAACGTGGTTTTTAGGCGAGGGGTTACACCATGCGTGTTGCTTGCTGCCCCAAGCCATTCGAACATCGAAGAGGACCACCTCTCTCTTCTTCCGATCCGAATATGGCGACGGAATGGAGCGCCGCTGCTACGTTCCACCGGGACGCCGTCCATGTTTCGGGCGCTCTGGCCAGCAACGGGCGTTGTGGTTCAAAGGTTCTGTTGCCATGTCGTGAAGAAGAGCGAAGCATTCTCAAACGCTGCTCGTTTTTGGTGTTGTTGTTGTTTCTAATCTTTTCATCATTCTCTACCCTGGTACACTAATAAATCAGAGATGGAGAAAGACATGTACGCGCTACAAGGTTGTAAGGATGATGGGGGTGAGGATGCGGCCGCTACATTCTTTGCTCTTGCCCGTTGGTGTTTTTCGTCCGCCACAAACCGTTCTTGATCGATGAGCGCCGTTGGACGCCGGCCACGAAACAAACGTGCAGACAAACAGATCCACACATGTATGTGTGTTGTCCACACACACACAACACCCCGAGCGACCGAAACGGACGGATATCCCGCTCGTTTTCACCTCCATCCATCCGCGACAGACGCGGCGATGCCGGACGTTCAGAATCACCCGAAGAAACGAGGGCTAACTGCACGGTTCCTCTACTTAGTTTTGGCTGAGGCTTGGGTTCTCAGATACAACGGATGGCCGCTACGTACGTTTTTTTTAGGGAGTTCTTAGCTCACACACGGTGCGCTCAAGTTCTTGGAACTTGTTTCTTTTCGAGAGTAGATTTTCTGAGTTGATTGCCAAGTTGTTACATAAAAAGTGCGGGCGCTCTCGGACCTGAGTGAGTGTGGAAACTTGCAAAGCACAACCAACCTCCATTGCTTTCGCAGGAAAAATCACGTCGTTTCTATTCCCCTCTTTACACAAAAAAAAAAAACACGACGCCTCTATCGATCGCGCCAACTGGCAAGTAGGTCAAAGGAGAGAGGAGAGGGCATCGGCCGTCAACAACAAAACAACGCCTCCTCCCGCACTGCTGTCGACCAACTCGAGAACGTGTCATTAGTCTTGCCTTTGCTCCCCATCTGGGCAGGCAGGACCACAACGCACGACGACTCGTTTCTAATTCCACTCATTGTCACGAAGTTTGGCACCGAAGGACTAAATCGCCTCCTCCCTGACTGAGAGGAAACCCAATCGGGGATACGACAAAAGAAAGAGCATATCCTAGGAGGGGGGGGGGGGGGGGCGCCATTTCCGGGGCGTCATTTCCGCAATGCCTTAGCTCAAGACCGTGAGTATTTCATGTGGGGGCGGATGTTCTACAAAGTAGTCTACCACCAACAGCCACCTCTTTTTCGCCTTCTTCCTCATGGAGATCTTGACACTAATTTATCTCCCAACCCCCCTCCCTCCGATATTTCTCGTTTTTTTGGCTTCTCGAAACTCTTACGTACAACATGCAACATCTCGTTTTACTTGTTTAACAAATTAGCATAACCGCCTTCTAAGAAAGTCGAAGTTTGAACGACCCGCTGCTGGAGTGTCCACCAAACAACCATCAATAATTAATAGGGATCCCAAGGCCAATCACTTACAAAGAACGGATCAAAAAACAGCCAAATAGAGGGGAAAAGGGCAAGCAAATACCAAACCACGCTTTAAGTACTCTTTAAATTCAGGAGGGGAAGGGAGGGGGGCACGACCAGCATGCGCCAACACGAAAAACAGGACGGCTTCCTCTACTCTAGGTCACAAGGCCGTTCTTTGAACCATCACTCGATCCCTGTTCGCGAAAAGAAAATATTGCGGCGAATCCCCCCCTCCCCTCACCCGAGCAAACAAAGAGCGTGACCTCCCCCCGCCGCCCCCATGTGTCTAAATGCGTGCTGGTCGTTGACGCAGCGATTCTTGTTCTTCCCTCATCTTCGCAATGTTCTCAAAACTGCTGGTTTCGTTAAATGCTAGCCAGTTCCCCGAAACCATCCACCAGTGGGTGAGGGCAGCAAGGCTCTCAATCCGCCCACCGACCAAAAGAGAGGTCGCCCCGACCTCTCGCCGTATCCACCAAAAAGCTGCTGCGTACTGCTGTCGAAATAGCAGTGTCTCTACGTGCTCATTCTGCTGCGAGGAAGAGCCTCTTTCGCAATCGTGTCCGTGGAGTACTTTTTCTCAAGACTAGATGGACCGTATGTTGGGTTTTTACTCGTCCTTGCCATCCCATACGCAGGTCTGAATATTTTTTTGTTGCCGCCGAGACGGTTGATGTTGATAGAACGGAAGCAACCAACAAGAGCGACAAAAAAACAGCGCGGCGAAGGCGAGAGAGAGAGAGAGAGAGGGGTCGTGGTGTCGGGGGGTTAAAATCGCAGACCAGATTCATGCGGTGACGATGTCATCGTGGCGGGTGATATCCTGATCGCTCCCGTGGAGTGCAACGCTTAGTCTACCGTAGTAAATAAACTGCAACCTCTTTTCCGTTCGACGCACGGTGGTTCTTGCGCCAAAATGTTTAAAACGCGCCACACAAAAGAAAATCATGCAAATCCCTGACCATACTCCTCGATGCCGTGCTGACAAACCAATGAACTGGCGAAACGACTACATACTCTTGTAGACACACACACACTCAACCGCACTGAGACTAACGTCTTTTCATTGGTCAGCCGGTTAGCGCGGTCGATGCTAGCAATAAAAACACACACACGGGTCGCCTCCTGCCACTAACGAATGCACACTCCAGCTGTCCAATAACAAGACCTACTGTTACACGTGGTTAGCTAGTAGCTCACCGTGTCGAAGATCATGCCGCACACCACGTAAGGGTCCATGTTCGACGACGGCCTGCGGTCCTCGAAGTATCCCTTCTGCTCCGCCTCGGCCGCGCGGGGGATGCGGATGGACGCTCCCCGGTCGGCGACGCCGTACTTGAAGGTGTTCATGTTGGCGGTCTCGTGGAGGCCGGTGAGGCGGCGCTCGTTACCCTAAATTGTCGACGAAACGGGCAATCGTTGGCGTCGCCAAGGTTGTGGAGAGAGATGGAAAGGCACGGGGACGGGGATAGATCAGATGTAAGGCAACGTGTTGGCTGTGACAGGGAAAAGGCAAGCGATGATTTCGGCGGTCTGTACGGTGGCAGCACTCGCACGGTGCTCCAGTATTAGATACTAGTGCCGTGGTTTGGTGGCCTGGCATTCCCCTCCCCCGTCCTCCCGCACCCCGCAAGCACACGTGTACATACCGACTTGATACTCAAGAGTAGAACTACATATATCTTGCTTAGTTTCGACAAGAGAGAAGGTAAAACAAAGACGACAACCGACAAAACCACCGCCGCCGTAGCCGTCTCCCAGCACGCTTACCTCGCCGTAGGCCTCGATGTGCTGCTTGTGGCGCTTCCCCAGCTTCTCGACCGCCTCCACGATCTCCTTGAAACCCCCCTCCTGGCGCATCTTCTCGGTGGAGAAGTTCGTGTGGCACCCGGCTCCGTTCCAGTCTCCGGGGATGGGCTGTTTTTTTTTCGCGTTCGTCAGGTATCGGGTTTTCGGATGAAAAACATCGAACGTATGTACTTCACCAAAACAAGTTTAGATACTTTGCCTGCCAAGTAAAGCAAAGCACGAACAAATCTGAAAATGATTCTCCGTAGATTAGTCTACCTCCCGTCGTCAACGGTCATCTTTCAACCGTCGCAGTCTCTCACCTTGGGGTCGAGGGAGACGGCAACCTGCAGGTCCTCCGCAACGCGCTGGAGCAGGAACCTCGACATCACGAGGTCGTCGGCGCCGTTGATGCCCACCGCCGGGCCGACCTGCCGATTTTGTGTTCGTTGGTTGTTGTGCTCTTGGTTGGTGGTTGTTTTTCGTTGTGTGTCTTTCCCTTCACTGCTTACAAGATCTGTTCGTGTACCCATCGCAATCGACAAGACATCCGTGCGCTAGAGAGAGATGGAAAGGGAAGAGAGAGGGAGAGAGGGAGAGAAATAGAGAGAGAGAGAGAGAGAGAGCTAGGAGAGACTACACACTTCGCGAAGTACATACAAACGGCACAAAAAAAATCGAAACAACCACAAGCAAATCGAAAACGAGAAAACAACCTACCCCCTCCCCTTTCCCCCAAACAAATACATTATTTACACCCAGGCAATAACGTACCTGGTACTCCCACTGTCCGGGCATGACCTCCCCGTTGATGCCGGAGATGGGGATGTTCGAGTACATGCAAGCGCGGTAGTGTGCCTCGGCGACACCGCGGCCGTAAGCGTTCTCGAAGCCGACCGAGCAGTAGTAGGGCCCCTGGGGTCCCGGCTCGCCGTCCTTAGGCCACCCGAAGGGGGTCACCATGTCCTGAAAATAGTAGCATCAGGGACGGGGGGGGGTTACTCATCATTAGTTCGCTTGACCCACAATGACCAACCCATATGCATGTTTGTTTTTACGTTTTCCTTCAAAATCTTTGCCTTGCATTCTATGTCCATCGGTGCTCCGTTAGGTTCCAAGTTTCTGTGCACAATGCTGTGCTCCGTTGGTAGACATTGTCAATCAATTGGCGCTCTTCACGAGGGAGGGAGGGGAGGGAGAGGAGGGAGCGGTGGGCGGCGCAATTGAAGCCGGGCGAGGTCGCCATGTCACCATCAGGCGTGGAGGGTGGGGGGCAGGTTAATGGTGTGGTCGCAAGGTGACGGGAGACTAGGGTTTAAGGTTTTGGTATTCTCCCTCCCACCTGTTCTTGCCTACTCTCTACACCACGACCCTTCATCCATGACAGTTTCTACGCATGCCGCACGGTGTTGTCTCGAAAACATTAGCTCCGAGCCGATCTGGGGTTACACAGGAGTTCTCTCCTGAGAGAGATCTACTCCGTGTTTGATTTCCTTCCCCTCATGATCTCATGTAAAAAAACAACAAAAATCCAAACCCACAATCTTGACCCCGACTGACGTCTTCTCGTTGGTCACCCGATTAGCGGGGGTCGATGCTAATTCAAACACACGTACACGTACCGTAGGCTGACGTCTTTTCAACGGTCAGCCGGCTAGTGCGGTCGATTCCAAGCCGGTTAGTGCGGTCGATTCCAACAACAACAACAAATAATACACACGCATAGTCTACACACCTTGTCGAAGAGGGTGTACTCCTGCTCGATGCCGAACCACGGCTCCAGACCGGGGGCCGCGTCGAAGGACGCGCGCGCCTTGGCGCGGGTGTTGGAGGGGATCGGCTCGCCCGTAGGCAGGCACGTCTCGCACAGCACGATGATGTTGTCCCCACCTCGGAAGGGGTCCTGTGTTCACATCGTTTTTTAATGCGTCGCGTATGTACAAGCGGCGGGGTTGGAGCTGAGTTGTTGTCGGGGCGAGGTTCTTCTCGACAAAATCGTCGTAAAACAGGGTGCAACTTTGCGGTCATTTGATGCATGGTATTTCCCGAGCGATTTCTTCGAAGACAAACATACAAATCACAGAAGGGCTTTGGTACAGTTGTATTTTTCAGTCTACCCGTTAGAGATATGATTTACACAATAACGCGCTTTTGGCGTCTGTGTGCAGCGGCTACGTCTCGCGGTAGGGTGCACGTTCCACGATTGGTGGCACGGTGGCACTCTAGTCAGCGGTGTGGTCTGAACCGCACCATCGCGAAAGGTCCCCCAGCAACGCTGCTGTGTTTTTCAAAGCGGAAAGCGCCTCGTGTGTATATACCTACAGCCATGATCTTTGCTGTTGCGCATTTTCTTGTTTCTTCAGCGCCAATAACCCCATCAAGTGAAGGGTGGCGGTGTGTATAGTTACCGCACAACTGCTGTTGCGCATGATGTCTTTTGCTATTCTGCGCCAATAACAACCTCATCGCTCACGTACGTACGCAGAGCGGACCCCCCCCCCACCCCCGAGGACACCGACAGCTGTCTGTATGTGTCACCACGTGGACTACTCAATCTGGATTGACATGACATGACACGACATGACATGGCTCTCTCCCGCTCACCGGGTAGATCTTGACCGGCCGGAGCATGACCTCGCTGTCGTCCCCGGGCGCCTGGCCGCAGGACGAGCCGTCGTAGTTCCACAGGGGCAGGTCGTTGACGGCGCCGGGCTTCTCCTCGAGGGTGCGGGTCTTGCAGCGGAGGTCGAGGCCGGTGCCCCCGATCCACACGTACTCGGCCTGGACGCGGGTGCCTTGCGGCAAGGCCATGTACCTGTGGTGGTGGCGGCCATTGATTTGTAGCGGGGTGTTACTCATGTTGAAAGGTGGTGGCGGGGTGATTATTAGGAAACATAAATACAAACACAGAAAGACTACAACCCATTCGAGATAAGACCACAGCAGTCGAACGGGATGTGTTGAAGTCTTCACAGTGAATGGAGGGAAACCGGCTGGGTACTGGGCTTATTTGGACTGAAAATTTTCGATCAGTGATGCCAGCAGAGGTGCTAATCACAAAATCACTACTGTATGGGTACATACACCACAAGACATCTTGATTTTGCATTTGCAGGACGGACGGTTTATTCGATCCAGCATGGTGATCCACTCCCAAGAGTTTGCCGGTTGGAGGGGAAAATGTTCTAGAACGGTATATCATGCGGCGGTGCATCTTCCTGCTCTCTGCTCTTCCAGGTGTTCGGTGCCGGCCGGCGTTCCTCCGCCACAGTATAATAGACTCAAGCAAGACGTGCGTACGTCGCAACCTCCGATGACTCAAGCCTCAGGTGAGAAGATGTCGAGGAGCTATACAACATGCGATTGATGGCGGTTTTGGAGTAACTAAAATACAGCACCGTTCGCGTGTATATTACGGGGTACACGTCATCGTTGCTTCATAAAACGTTCTTGGTTGGTGCGGGTGGGGGTACGTAGACGTGCACGTTTGCTCGCAGATTCGGCATCTAGCTACTGCTGCAGATCTCGTGCTGGCCGGCACGTGCTGACGTAATACTCCAATGCATAGCAGGCTCACCGGTCCATCACACCCTGGTCGAGCTTGACGTCGCCCGGGGGCTTGCGGACGTTAAGGTCGTTGGCATCCACGACGCTGGATGCAACGTTCTCGACCTTCTCGCTGGCCGACATCCGGAGGCCAGACGACGGGCGGGGCACGGCACCGGGCACCAGGAAGGCGTTGACCGTCGCCATGGAGGCTAGCAGCGCGAGCGCAGAAGTTCCTTTCATGATGCTGCTTGGGGCCTGTGTTGTTGGTACACAACGCAAACGCGCAGACGTACGTGGCGTCAGAGCTTGACATGCACAAACAAAACAATGTACCTAGACGCGCGAGGGATGTTCAGGAGAACCAGTATGGAACATGATTCGAAGTGTGTGTTTGGACGAGCAACACACGCGTTCGAGCCAAAACCTGCCCCACCTTTGCTGCGCACAGCAACAGGCGGTGCGGCGACGTGGCTGCATCAACGAGTCGTCAAGCGGCAGGACGCGCTCTCTACGCAAGAGCTTGGAAGCAGATGGCCAAGCATCACAGCAGGCTGTGGTGTCGTGGTGATCGTCTATGCAACAGCACAAGATCTCAGCGTTGCTGAACCGTCAACCGCAGAGAGTAAGCTACGCATGAAGTACGGAGCCGCAGCAGCAGCGGCCAGGCACGACAGACTGTTCTGCCGGCCACTCTTCTCAACGCTGGGTGTTCGTCATGGAACCCATGCCCTAATCAGTCCCCACTCACCGATTTTGGGATTCGTGAAGTGTGTGAAGATGGGTGTGTGAGACTCGGGGAGGAAACCAAGTGCGTCGGTCTCTGGTTTTGGTCGGCAGTCGAAGTTCGTAGGAAGTGATGAGGTCAAGCGACATGACATCACCATCAGCTTGGAGATTCCGCCGCATTGTTCCATTACCGTTGAGTGACTCATCGTCGACGGTTTTTGTTCCTGTTCGAGGATAATAAAAATTGAGCCGCAAAGGGGGGGGTGTTGTCGTACGTGTGGGTGTCTCTGTCTTTTCGCGACGTTGTTGCTGCGGTGTGCTCAGCATAGAGTCATGAACAGCTCGTCGGCTGGTAACAGAGGCTACTGCTGTCGCCATACTCGGATCACGGGTGGGTGGGTGGGCCGTGTACGCTGTGGAACTGGTCGTTGTCGCCACGAGGGCTCCGGAACAATCAAATGTTCTGCCTCCCTCGCTGAAAAGCTCAGCGTGTTGGCGCGGTCTTGTGAGCAGATGTCGGTGCATCTTGGGTCTGTCCCTCAAGCATCGATGTCCTGAGCACCGAGCAAACAGGTGAGGTAATCGATTTTTTCACTGATGATGAGGAAAAACGCACTCCAAACGCCGACCGGTGTATCGAAAAAAAGCACTTTGCTTGTATCAATTTTGCTGCTGAAGCAGAGGGGTACTCGAAATACTGTTTGTTGCACCAACGGCAGCAGGGGACGCCGGTTGAAACAACGAGAGCCACCACCGCCATGGCGCCACCGGAAGAAGTTGAAGTCACCGCGGACAGAACACCCAATGGAGTACCCCATGACCAAACCTTCGACGAGCTCGGAGTGCTGGGGGTCGATGGTTCCCGGATGGCGTGCGGGGTGTACCACCCTCCGCCGCGCGGCTTTGAGCAGCCAACTGAGACCTTCGTTCGTAAAACCGGCATGAGGGACAAAGGACCCCTGGGGTACGAGTACAACAACACGGAGTACCTGTCTGTGAGCGCGGCCGTCAAGCCTTGTACTCCTGGGTGAGTGACGTTTTATTTTGTACTCGCATAGCCTACATTGTTTAGACTCCTCTAGCTGTAGCGCATCGCCGTGCCCTCTACTCTGGTGAGCGAAGAGTCCGGAGTGTAGTGGCTATGACCTGCCACCGGAGGCTGGCTATTTCCTTTGGTGTGATGTGGCGAGGAATGCCAAGCGTGACCGAGCGAACTCAGTCAAGCTAGGGTGGCGCGGAGAGTGGGCGAGCCTTCATGGACTCATTTTCCCATCGTCCTATATCTACTCTTGATTCATCAACCATTCACAGCTGTTGGGAATCGGAAGAGGAACGGATTCTTGGGGAGAACAGCTATAGTAAAGTATATATTATCACACATCCCTCAGATCCTACTCTTTATGTACGTGTGTCTGTGCTTCCTGAACCTCCACAAAACATATGTATCCTGGCCTCCACAGCATTATGTTGAGATACAGCCTGCGATCGCGGGAATTCCAATGCTTTCGCAATAATGCTCGACGGTATGGCTCAGTGACCTCGTACGTTTTTCATTTTCAAATCTCACCGAGAGATGTGTACGTACTGGTTGAACAGCAAACATGCACACGATTCTCCCGAGTCCTCTGTCACGATGACCGCAGTCCTTCAATACTGTTTGGGCCATATCGCATACCTTGTGTCATATCCATGCCCAACCCGTATCATGCGTACCCTTTCTCGCCGCCCTGTGAAGGTTGCTGCGTAGTCGATTGCATGCCCATCCCAGTCAGGGCGACTTTCTCCCGACAAGCAAGTTAATGGTGAAGCAGCGTGGACCGTGGACCCCTAGTTCGCCGGAGGGAGTCGCGAGTTTAGCTTGCGGTTTTGTGCAAGACACAGATGGCGCGTGTACTTCGTGTTTCTCGCGCACTTGGCGCTCTCTCCCGATGACGCAGGAGGGGGTTGGGGATACGATGCCCGGTGTCCTTTGGGAGGAAACCCAGGACGGGGGAATAAAGGTCTTTGGCAAGAGAAATGATACCCTCTGATAGCAACCTTTGGCACAACAATCAGAGCCGCAAACCGACAAAACTAGGATGACCCTTGCCCCCAACTTTTCATCGACTCCCGAAACCAGTTCCGCGGTCTTCCTGGCCGCTAGCGCCAGGACCGGCTCCGCCGGCGTGCCGGGCGTTTGCGTGCGCTCTTACCCCACCAGCCCAACCCGAGACGACCGCCTCGAGGACGCCGGGAAGGCTGCCCAGACCCGAGCGGACGAGGCTCGAAAGATTGCCATGAAGTCGCGCTGGGATCGGCACGTTCTCCGGGCGAACCCGGCGAAAACAGCGAAAAGCCGGACGAGCACAAATAGCCCAGGCTCCACTAACAAGGTGGTGGTTTGTTGTTGTTGTTGTTGTTGCTGTTGGTGATGGACATGTGGGTGGTGGTGTCGGCTGCGTCGTTGTTTGTGTTGATGTAGTTGAATTTGTTGCCTGTTGTGGTCCCTACAAACATACCACATCCTTCCGGTCTCAAGGGTCCGTTATCTGCCAGAGACCGTAGATCAGACTACATAGTAGCGTCCAATAAGTGATTGCGGGCAATCCATGCACCATTCCCATCATCTTTTTTTTTGGTGATTTTGCAGAGCGCAGTGTCGACGGTGTCGACTTGGAGGGCGCGTGGGGTTGGGGGGCCAGTGGCTCGAACACTCTACTGCATGCAACCCTTACGCTGATTCAACCCAAGAGTTCCCCACGACTGAAGGCATCCTTATCAATGATGGTGCGTGTTCGTATTTCTCCTCCGAACGACAGCCGAGTGCCCTTTCGTGGAAGCAGTCCACGGGGTCGTTGACGCCGATAATTCGACCGCCGCGATCGAGGAGCTTGGAGGACCAGGCCCTGCGAGAGGCGATTGAGGCTAAAGCGCAAGCCATGGCGGTGGGTTGCCGTCGCCGTTATCGCCACCGCCGTCGTCGAAGTCGTTGTTCCTGTTTTCGTTGCCGTTGTTGCTGTTGTTGCTGAATTTTCATCTGCTGTTGCAGCTACTGCTGTTGCGGTTGAACCTTACGCAAGGACGACATACTAGAGTAACTTGGCTTGAGACGCGAAACCGACGCGTTGGAGAAAGCTGAATGGAGATGCAAAGGAAAGCTGAAACGGTGGAGGCTACCCTTTGTTCGTGATGGTGCAAGCCACTGCCGCTGGTAGCAGTAGGACAACGTGGATTCCGTTAATCATATCCCCCACGTCTTCTACCTCCAACCTGGCCCTGACATTAGCCGCATAGGGAACAAACGTCTAACCATCCTTCGACTCACTGGCAGAAACGACCTATCTCTTGGTTATCTTCAATCGGCGCAACGAATGCGTTCCCGTTTGAGGAAGCACCTGCAAGAGTCTCGCGCAGGGGAGCGGGTTTCCCTGCAGTATGACACGCGTGGCAACAAGCACACCGCTAACCCACTCTCTCCAGGCCAGCCCTCGTGAAGGAAAGCCGGACCCAGAGACTCAGAGACGACTTAGGGGTGGGGGCAACCGACGGAAACTGAAGAGGGGTCCCGCAGCGAGCGACAAAAGGGACATGTACCACGGGATCGCGATGCCCGGGAACACTTTTGAGAAACCCTTCGCCGGGGGCAACGAGGTGGACGCGCTGCCGGGGAGGCTGGAGTCACTGATTTTCCCTCAAAGGTATTAGCAACGACAGCAGTCATTACCGTCGAATAGAAACACACCCCAAACATGCACACACTTTTTTTTTTTTAAATCCGCACCGAGAGTGACGTCTTTTAATTCGGCCAGTCGGATAGCGTGGTCGATGCTACTTACTAAAACTCCCACAGAGAGTAGCGGTTTCGGCGAGAAAATCTGCATATTGTACCACTAGCGCCGAGGGAGAATAATATACCGGCTTCGTTACGTCGATTTCATGTTGTCCGGAACAACGTAACGAAAGAAGCAAGGGCGCAATGTACACTCCAAACAAGGTCTTGTCGCGCCGTGTCTGGTGTCCAGATACGTGGACTGGCCGAAGGAGGACGCGAGTCTTCCGGCCCTGGCGCTTGACGTCCAGCGCTCCCCAATACGCCACGCCGTCGCGTTCCGATCGAAGCAGGTAAGCATGCCTTAGGAGTCTCACACGTCACCCCAACATCGCGACTTACGATTCAATGACACCACAGGAAGTCGGTTAGGGGCATGCATCTCTCGTGTAGCCGTTGTTGCATAGCTGGGCTTGTGGGTCTCTTTGCTCTTACACCCAGCAGCGGCAGTGGTGAAATTCCCTCTCGCCTCTTAGTTCTACTAAGAGCATGGTGTTCTTGTTCTCTCCCGCTTCCTTCGTAGTCTGAGTCGTGCTGTCGAAAGGACTTCGCTGTCTCCCCGCTGCTCACATATTTGTTGTACTCTCTAGGCAACTTGAAGACCAAACGGCAAAAACGAATTCCCCGTTCATGCCCCCTTCATGCTGTGTGTGTGGTGTGCCTTTTGTACTCTTCTGGGTGCACAAGCCCCGTATCGTGTGCTACGACCCGCAACGAGAAACACGGGGTTGGGACGGACCCGGCGCGTACGAATGGGACGACAGACCCGACGACAACGACACCGACACGAATGCTACAGCGGACATCGACATGGACGGCGGCGGCGGTGGCGGCAAAGCCCCCGGCGACAGCGGAGGCGACGGCGGCGGCGGCGGGAGGGGCAGGAAGAGCGCGGAGAAAGGAGGAGCTCGGCCAAGGGGCATCGCCGTGCGAGACCCGGGCAGACCGTCCCCTGCCTTTCGAGAAGGATCGTCCGCGTTCTTGTCCCCGACGCAGACCAACGTGCGCGGCTTCGCGCTCGCACCCTCTTCTAAACGCGTCGACGCCGCGGCGGCGGCGGCGGCCGAGGGACGGGACGTTACCGCCACCGGTGCGGAAGCTAGCGAAACCGGGAACAGAAGTGGGGCCGGGGCGGGGGGGAGTGGCGCCAGCAGGAGCGCGAGGTCAGCGGCAAAGAAAAAGGCCCACGGGGGCCACCGAAGAAAGCCTCAAACGGTGAGAGGGGGGGAAGGGAGAGGGTGCGAACAAGCCGACGCGATCTATTTCGCGGTGCGAGTCACTGCTCGCAGCAGGATCAAAAGTTGACGGGGAGTGAGTTGGCCGCCCTTGCATGAATGACGTCGTGGGATCTTCGTAAAAGGGTTCTGGGTGTTGGCATTTCGTAGTACGAAGACCCTTCTTCTACAGTATGCAACTTCTGTGTGTTGTGCTCCCCTTCCCTGGTTCCACCTTTCTGCCCTCAATCTACCTGAGTTCTGCCTCCCGCTTGTCTGTCCGTCCCTACTGTACGTGTATCTCCCCCTCTTCTCTCTTCCTCCGGCCCTCCTCTACTCTTTTGCGCTATTTTTGACTCGGCGCCGTTTCCCGACCCCTGGTCGTTGTTTTTGTTGTTGTTGATGTCACCGCGGGGACAACAACAACCTGCGTTCCTACGAACAGCTATGGATGTTTAAGCCCCCCGGCAGGGAGCCTGAGCCAGCGGTGGCGACGTTGGGCTGGGAGGGGCCGGGGGCATACGCTATTGAAATGTAAGGGGGGTTGCTGTTGATTTATCGTTCCGCGGTATGTAGGGTGTGCTTGTGTACAGCGGCCAGCGCGACAAAGCATAGCGCGTGTGCTGAGTGCTGCAACCGGTAGGGCGATCGTCAAAGGAGTTCGAGATGAGGCCATGGTCGGTGGAGTGTTCCTCTCTATGGTAGACTGTAGACTTACGGCGCAAGCGTTGGAAGAAAAAGGCTGCCGGGGACGCGAGGAGGGGCTGGACTCTATGGACCAATACGTAGCGCGCGACATCCGCCCGTTTTGGATGAACATATTGCGAAGCGGGGCACAGAAGGCGTGTTGTCGAGTACGCTAGTGTCTCTCGTAGAGCCTAATGTTCGGACCCTTTTCCGTCACCCATTGCTCCCTCCCTTGATCTTTTTCGAAATCAACCCGAACATTCGTCTCTCGTCCATCGAAACGTGTGTTTTCCCCGGCAGCGGGACGGGCGTGAGAGTGAAAGAACCCGGACGGAAGTCTCCGGTCTTCCGAGAGGGCTCGGGAGGGAAAAGGGGACGGGATGTCGACCGCAGGGAAAGGGAGAAAATGGTCAGCCCGGGGGGGGTGTCGTCTTCGGCCGGGCCAATGCCAGAAGGTGCTCTATATCTCACCGCTGTAGTTTATTTTTCCGTGAGACTTGTAGCAGCGTGACCTGAATTTTTCAAAATGTGTTTGCAGGGGACAGTCCCAGCTGCTACCTCTACTTTGTTTCACGAGGATAGCCTTAATTTGACAACTTCGTGCCGCCTTCAGGCGCCCAAAGATTTTCCCGCACATCCATTAGAGTTTTTCCCAACCCCATCCTTTTGCCTGGTAGACTCCACCCCAAAGGAGAGTGATTTCAAACGCACATACATGTGAGTGGTTCCGAGCCACCCGCTCCGATCCACGCTGTAGTTCTACTTATTCGTAGTCGGGTGTTGCCTCAGTGTAACCGCCGGCGTAGCTTTCGCAAACATGAAGAAGGTTTCCCAAGAAACATTTCGGTCCCCCTATCTGTTTCAATCATGACCTTTATTACTTTTGGTTGAGGTTTGGTTCCTGAAATTGCTTAGTCTGGCGAGTGTTTCCGGGCCCCGCTGTTCCATTTTGGACACTGAACAATAGCGCTTCGCTCCAAAAAGTTTGACGTTAACACATTGAAATTGAAAATATCAAGATGCTGCATGGCCACGTTGGCACAGTCTGGTCAAAATGGTCAGCCATGGTACGTTATTCAGTCAATGCCAAACGACAGCAGTGAAAACAGACGCCAGTTTATTTTTGGTTCTCTCGCGGGTATTCAATCTAGATCGATCCTACCCGTATCTTCAACTCTTTCACGCTGTGCAACGCTCAGTCATGTTGCTTCTCACAACGACGAGAGGGTATGTAGGTCGATGCTTAGTGATGGGGCCCACGTCGACGAGAGTTTCGGTGAGTCGTAGTGAGTGAAGTAAACCCACTGTAAGGAAACGTCTCTCACTGCTGTCTGTTATTTATTTTTTTCCACGACGCAACAGCAGCCGTACCATCCGGCTGAAGTTGAGAGGTTGGTCGGGTCCTCGTAACCACCATACAGTAACCGATGGCTTCACGTCAACAACCACACTTTGCTTTTTTCGTTTCCCGTTCGGACCTGAAACGCAACACTTTACTCCTCGCGTGTATCCGCCCGCGCGGTTCGAACGTCACACGCACGAACCACTTTTTTTTTGTCGACGGGAACGGAAGGATTTGCGGTCGGTCCCGGTGAGAATAGGATGGATTCTCCAGGCACTCCTGAGTCCCTCGCCAGCTGGTCCAGCCTGTATCCGGAGTTTTCACCACCAGCACCGAAGGTGACGGCAACACCGCGTGTGAAAGGCCTTGAGTACGCTAGTTTCGAACGCGTTGTTGTTGTTGTTGTTGTTGTTGTTGTTGTTTGTTGTTCTCGTACTCGTCGTCGTCTCTCATTAGCCAATACCTCGGTTCCCACGCATAGTGCGAGTCCGAAGTGGTGGTCTTAGGTTTAGGTTTTAGACCAAGATTGACAAACGAACTGGGAGACTACCCGAACGACAATGCGAGGAGGTGCAAAGCGCCCCCCCTCCCTGACCTATCTCGAAAGCGTTCGTGCATCTTGTCGTTCTCCTGGTGGCGGCGGAGGAGGAGGTTGAAGCAGAGAGACGAAGGAGTCTCGACAAGATCATCTTGTTGACGGGAATATATACCAAATTTGACCTACGGCGGAGATCGTTTGCTGCTACTCCAAAACTATGCCGGCAGTGCTACAGCCGACACTGCCGGGGCGGCGGCGGCGGCGGCGGCGGTGGTGGTGCTTACGGCGGCGGGTCAACGAATGCACCGGAATCATGTGTGCCCCGCTAACAACGTCAGCCGGTTAACCCCGACCTATCGACCTTGCTTGGATATTGAACCGCACCCTCTTTCTCGCTCACCCGTGCTCGTTGGTCTCTTCTCTCTGTCACTCGCCGCTGCCACCGCTCCCGCCGCCCTGCTCGCCTTGTCTACCGCTGACATGACATCACCCTCAACTACACCACCACTGGAACCACCACCACCTCTCCTCGACCCCCCTCTCCTCCAACCCGACAACGAACCACGAATAACCATCCAAGCCAGACGGTTGCCCATGGCGTCTTCCGGCAGAACCCAAATCGATTCGCGGCATGCTTTCTGTCGAGTGCGGATCGCTTCGCTCCCGACCCCGTCTTGTTGTCCGCGGCAACAACGTCTGCGGGATTGGGCCCGGGGTCCGGGGAGATGAGCAACGGGGGGGACATGGCGGGGCCGGTGGAGAGGTACGACCTCGTGAGCTCTCGACGGCAGCCGCCGCCAGGTGAGATAATAGGGGGCTGGAGGTCTTCTTGATACGGCTAGGGGTAGGTTTGCAACGGATTTCTTCACACGGGATTGGCAGGCTGCGTGTTCAATCTCCTGTCCTGGGCGAACACTGCAGTCCATCCCCTGTATCCGATGTACGCGAAGTATGGCAGATATCCTAGTCCATATGGTTGTTCTGCCGCGGGACCTTTTAAGGTGGCCCAAAACGTACTTTCTCCGACTTTTTCCCCGTGTCGTCCCTTCCCCCCTGCGCGCTGTTTATCCTTTGGCCTCCTCTCTCGCCCTCTCTGCTACTTGTCTCCATGTGCTTCGGCCAACTCGTTGTCGTGGAACCGACACTCACAGCCAACACTTGGCTAGGAACCTCCATCCGCCCCGGTTTGCCGTACAACCCGTCACTAGGAACAGAGAATACGGCGGCGGGGGCTGCCACAACCCCCCACAGCCCCCGGCACCGACAGTCGAACTCATTCTCGCTCCTGTCGCCACATCCATCGACAATGTGGGACGAAACAACCACTGCCGGGGATTCCATGGAAACAGCGACCAGCATCGGTGGTTCGAACGCAGCGGACGGAGACGACGGGGCGGGCGGAAGGACCAGGGGTGGCGTCGCGAGTGGGTCGGAAGGTGGCGCCCTCGCTCCTCTGTCGTTAGCAGCAGTCGGCACCAGACTCGTGTCGTCGCAGAAACGCACGCTTGCGCGCCGTGTTCTCCCCGCGGCCGCGGCAGCGGAGTTGGCTGCCGCCGCCACGGCCGCCGCCGGACTCGCGCGGAATTGGGCCGGTCGCCAAGCAGATGCGCACGCCGCAAGGGGCGGTCGTGGGCCCGGGGGGGCAGAAGCAGACCGACAGGATGGGCTGAGGTCAGATTCCACAGATGTGAGAGCCAATGGTATGATGACACAAGGGGTTGACGATATGCCCGAACCATCGTCCACGGTGGCGGAGTTGTTCGAAGCGTTGTCGACAGATGCCGGTCCGCCAACGCACGGCAGGCGTGTTGCGGCGAGCTCGTATCGTCGGCAAGGGTGGCGGCATGAGGAATACCAGAGCAAGAAAAAACGCTCGGTTTCCTCTGTGAACGAGATTGGCGCCGGTGATGTCGCACAGACCGCTGGCGGCGGCCTCGCGACGAGAAATACCTCGGCGTTCGGTGGTGGTGGTCCTGCTTCCCATGCTCCTCGTCAAACTGCCGACGGGGTGGCGATGACGGAAGCGGGTCTAGCGGCAGCGGAAATGGCGGCCGCGGAAATAGAGAAAGCGGCGACCGCGGCTGCGGCCGAAAAAAGTCTCATCCGAACGGTGGGAAGAGCTAAAAGAGGACCGTGCATGCTGACCCTTACCCCGTCGAGTTCGTACGAGATTGGCCAACAGGCGGCTCGAGCTGGTACTACATGTAGGACGGGGGAGGTACTGCAGGAACAGACTCTACGTGGCGATTCATTCGGCAGTTGTAGGGGACCGTTGGTTTTCTGGGAGGTGGAGCCCGCCGGCGGGCTTTTGGGCTCGGGGGAGACCAAGGTCCTCCGGTGCTGATAAGATTGCAGAATGGCCACCTTGACCTCGTGAGTAGCATAGCATGCTGCAACGTACAGTACATATCAAAGCAGTGGCAAGCAGTAGGGTGTCGTCACCCAATAGGACCGATCCAGCAGACAAAGCGGTGTTACATTGGAAGTATAGCGGTAACTTTTCCCGCGTGACTGCGTTCTCGGCCACGGAACGTAAAACTTGTTCCTGACGAATTCCATGCGAGTGTGGACATGCGAGTGTGCACCCGGTGATGTGTCTGGGAGACCAGTTCAGGTGCAGGTTTACTCTTTACCCCTCATCACGTGAGAGGAGTTTTCCCGGGTTCCTGCCCGCGGTGGGCTAGCAGGCATTGCGGTGGAGCGAGAATTACTCATATATGTTATGTATGTGCTCACAAACGCAAATGGCTTATGTAGCGTAGGCGCAAAGCAGAGCACGGGCGGTCATGTGCGGAAGTCCACCGAAAGACAAGTACACCTTACAGTGTTACCCGTGCGTGCGTGAGATGAATTGGTGGTACCTGTTTTACAGTGGTGTAAGGGGAGGGATCGTTCAGCCAGGACCTTCATGACCGGCAAGGTTCTCCCAACTCTTGGTAAGTTAAACCTTAACCCCCCAAAGAATACTTTTCGTTGCCATTAAAGTTGTTCCTAGTGTGATTTTTTAACAACTTTGATATAGCTTCGGGATCAGGCACTTCACAGTGTTGCCCGTGCGTGCGTGAGATGAATTGGTGGTACCTGATTTTACAGTGGTGTAAGGGGAGGGATCGTTCAGCCAGGACCTTCATGACCGGCAAGGTTCTCCCAACGCTTGTTAAGTTAAACCTTAACCCCCCAAGAATACTTTTCGTTGCCATTAAAGTTGTTCCTAGTGTGATTTTTTAACAACTTTGATATAGCTTCGGGATCAGGCACTTTACAGTGTTACCCGTGCGTGCGTGAGATGAATTGGCGGTACCTGTCTTACAGCGGTGTAAGGGGAGGGATCGTTCAGCCAGGACCTTCATGACCGGCAAGGTTCTCCCAACTCTTGGTAAGTTAAACCTTAACCCCCCAAGAATACTTTTCGTTGCCATTAAAGTTGTTCCTAGTGTGAATTTTTAACAACTTTGATATAGCTTCGGGGTCAGGCCTTTCGAAACCAAGAAAACAACCCAGCAATTCGGATGACATATCGACCGAGTAAGATGCGCATATGTGCGCTTCGTCTCTTTTTGCCACTGCGCAGACAACGCCCCCCCCCGCAGGCAGACGGCAGCAAACGAGCGGCCTACGGCATACGATCGGTTTGCCGAACAAGTCTACTGGAGGACCAACGGCCAGCCCGTGCGCATGTCGTTGCTTCTCTCTATGTACCTCTCCCCCTCTCCCCCTTCTCTCAACTTCGGGACCAATCCTTCCTTTGCTTCGTCGAGTGATTTTGCTCGCTGATTGGATTCAACAACAAAACACCAACGGGGTGTAGCCTCAAGTGCCGTCCCATCCGGCACGATCAGAACAGAATCACACAATGCACCACCCACCCTGAGGGCATGTCACCTCATCCAGTCGTCCGTCTACTCGTGTGATTGGTCGCAGGAAACAACCTTGCTGCTACGTAGCGCGGCGACGGCATACATGTGATGGTGTTGGTGATGGGGTATAGTCGCTCTGCCCCTCTGCCCCGACAAGCTGAGCAGACCGCATTCTCAATGAAACCTCGCGAACGACCGTGTTGCACGTGCCGTGTAGCGTTCAACAAATCACTCAAGGCTGCGCCAGTAATGAGGTAGTTGCAGTAGTCACCGCCGAAGAACCATGTCCGGTATTCACCTGTTGCTCCCCCTACCATTGCTCGCTAGCAACAACCAGTGGGAGCAGAGGGACGAAACTGCCCCTCCCCCCCCAAGCTCCAGAGCCCAGGCAACCATGCTCCAGGAGGAAATAAACGAGATTGATCGGACGTTTCAGTCTGATTTTCTATCGAAGGATGTTCGGGGGCCAGAAGCACTTCCGCGTAAACCTCGGTAGCTGAGAACGAGCACGGCCAGATTTACGCCGTAAATGCTGACACAGATCAGGCAGATATCCTGTAACACGACGAGCAGGATGTACATGAGGTACAGAGACACGCCCTGAGTGTTTGGGGTTTCGGACAAACGTGAAACAAAGGGAGAGGAATGGGGGGTGGGGGGTAAGTTGCGAGAAAAACAAACACGGAACGAGGGGAGATAAGGCATTTCATAGGACGAACATGCTAGAAAACCACCACGAAAACATGAACCCAACAGCACGTGTTCAGAAGTAGGTTTATAGGGAGAAGCTCTCACTCACACCGAATCTCTTCATGAAAATGGTTAAAGAAGGCCCGATGACGGGTGGCCGGACGGCGAATTTCTTGGTTTCTTGCCCGTTCCTCTACATCATACATCACGCATCTGGGCTGCGGGTGGCTTCGACTTGCCGTTGGCATGTCTTCGAGACCTGCTTGCCCACCGGGCCTAAGGGTCAACGTCTTCCCAAAAATCAGCATCACGTCTGAAACATATGTTTCCCCCCCCCCAGAACCGGCCGGCAACTCACTCCAACAACAGGTAAGACACGTTATGGTTTGGGGGGTGCCACGCTAAAACGAGTTCGCGCGTTATTTCAGTCTTCGTCTTGTGGGAATCCTTGGATCAAGACGTTGTGACGTCACTTAACATGTCCGCTATGCGTTGCCAGGCGCCGAGCACGGAGGTACGCCGGGTGAAGGACGGGATCGATGATTAGCAGGCCCATGGCACCACTACCAGCAGCAGGAGCAGCATCAATCAATCATATCATAGCAACAGTGTGGCTGCGGCAGCGGCCGTACGGGTACTCACCACGACTGGGACTGTCAAGGCGAAGACGACCTTTGCCTTTGCTTGGCAGGAGGAAAGAGGAAACAAACGGTGGAGGAACACTGCCGCAAAGTAGAGCACGCCTGCGACCATGCGGGACCAGGGAAAGAAGGGCGAGACATCGGCAAGAACAAGGTTGGGACGGGCCGGGTTGAAAAACGCAAGACAGGACGAACACACAAGGTAAATGAAAGGGAAGGGCACACTGGATTAGTTTCTGTCCGGTTTCCTCCTGCGGTATTGTAACCGCGAGAAGGACGCAGCCTTCCGATTCCCTCCACCACTTTCTTTTGGGCATAAAAGTGCGAAACAACTCCCGGTTTGTGTGGCTGTGCCGAGGTTCAAACTCACGACCCGAACGCCAGAAGATTTGCGAGGCAACAGCAGTACCAACCGAACCACTTGGCGGCGACCAATTATGTGACTCGAAAATGTCAGGAGATTGCGAGGCTACCAGGGCTATTTACTAGCTCTGCCACTCGAAAACGTTTGGGTATGTCACAAGCAAGTTACGGGCCTGTCAAGCGAAAATACCCGCCGAATGAAACCGGCCTTGTCGACGGAGTTGCCCTAGAGAGGGTTTGCTACAATATCCTGTCGTAAGCTTCCATCACATCGTCCCCATTGGCGTACACGCGAACTACGCACGATCTCCGACACGCAGAAAAGCGTGAAGCTCGTAGGTAAGGCCGAAACAGAACGTGGTGACCCTCCACGGATATGCCAATGCCTATTGACGGTTGACTGGGGAGGCCTGGTACGTAAAAAACCGCATAACATCTCGACACCTTCAACGTGCATGATGTGACGCCCGGGTATTTTCATGAGGCTTTCGAATAATAAGAGCATGGCATACACGTCCGCGAAACGTTTTGGGCAGCAATCATCGGGTGCTGCCCCCCACAGCTGTAGCTGTAGCTTTGTCTCCCATGCTGGAAGGGCCTATGTATGGCAGGAAAAAACCGAGCTGCAATCGGCAGAGATTGGCGGCCACGGGCTACGGCGACAGCATCGGAGCAACAACGCCTCTTACCCAAGGTGGCATTGGCTAGGTCAAACTGGTGCCCCTTCGGCAAGACCCCTAGCTGCGACAAGATGTGTCCCCATTCGCTCATTAGCACCTGCGCATGGCAAGCACGAGATGTTCATGAGAACGCGGACAGCGAAAACGAGAGGAGAAACAAAGGACGTGAGGCCGTGAAGAATGGCGTAGACGTCCTTGGTTCCTACCCGCAACCTAGACTTTGCAAGAGGTCTAGTCAGTGCGAACGAGCCTCGTGTGCCCTCGCTGGCAGGGCTTGGCCGTGATCGACATGTACATATGTATGCGTGTGTACTTTCTTCCCACCTGTTCTGGGACCTTTGGAATATGTTCGACGCACCAACCGGGTCACACAGAAGAAACGCACCCACTGGAGTTCTTTTCTTTTCTCCGCCAGCCCGGGGTGCTTGCCATTCGAACAAGTCTTAAAACGACAAGCGTTCAGCAGTCCCTCGCCCCGTCTGTGCATGCTCACGACTGTGCTCTTTCCACCGAGTGAAATGCGAGCTTGTCACTCCGGAAAGAGTCGAACCCATAACTTTGTATCGGAAGCCTTACGAGGCAACCAACCGAATCACCGGGGCGACCGTGGGGCAAGAAGCAGCAGTGGGTGCAAACCAGGCTATATGTTGTTGGGACAGTGGAACATGGTCTCCGTTTGCCCACAAGAAAATGCCTCGACGCTGCATGTAGGGTACTGGCGTCTTACGCAAGAATGAAACCTAAACATACGTCTTCCGATCACAAAAACAGATGCCTGCGGGAAGTCTGAATTGCACGAAGTAGATAATAAACATATTGAATCACATCCGACATTGGGTGGACCGGAACCATGGTTGGAGAAACGTGGTCTACTCGCACGCACGGCCCCTTCCTTCCATGTGCCCACATTCCCACACCAACCACCATCCACCCGTCACGCCCGCCAGATATATATATATATATAGAGAGAGAGAGAGCACAAACACGCTATCGAGGGCGGCTGTTCACCTTGGTCGCGCATGCCTAGCGTTGAAAGTACGCGTGGGTTTTTCATACATATCATACGTTGTTCAACCTCACATGCACACATGAACGTTACGTACATACAGGTATCCATTCGGATGTGGCTCCAGACCCCGGCGTGAGTGCAACGAGCAACGCGCCAGTCGATACAGACACGCTGGGAGTATTGCATTGAATCACATTTCGACAGACCCCACCCTTCAATAATTCTTCACAGTTAGGCCGATCTTTATCCGACGGGAAGCCAATGTATATATATGATCGAAGTGCATACGCTGTAGTGCGATGTGCTTGCAGCTGGTTCCAGCCAGCTGCAACCAGCCAGCTGCATGATGGTACGCACATCCGTAGATTTACTATTATTGTAGCTCTGCATGCCGGGCAACGCCGATCGTCTTTTGCGGAATATACCCGCAAACATGACGAGTGGCGGTTCCCTTACAAGAGGGACATGCTCGAGCAACCCGTCGGAAACATCAACATCCGTGTATATACTGGTATATAATAGTACGACCACTTCATGGTCCCTGTCAAAGGTCGGATCATGTAGCCAAACGGCAAGTCCGGTAGACGACATAATATAGGATTGAGCGATATCCTTTGTTCTCGAAACATGATTACACCCGATGTACGTGGAACAACTGCTGTAGAGCTGGCCATTGAAAGTGCACAGCATTGGCCCCAGCCGGTCTGCCCCTTCCACAGAGGGAGAATCTCTGTGAGGGTAGATATCTTTCCGTGGCGTCGTGCAGCACACGACTGTTTTTGTTGTGCCGACAGGTCTCTCTGTGTTGTTTCACAGTAAAAAGAACACCACTAATTCAACGACTGATGACTGCTGTGTTGCACCTTCGAGCAGGACATCCGCTCGCTGACATCGCACATTGCCTCATAGGAAGAGTCCTCCTCATTCTTGTGCTCCACGTACACTGCGAGAGGCGCGCCCAGCAGCAAGGCGAGGCAGGGAAAGTGGTCGTGTGGCGCTGGTCAGAAAATGGCCCGCGTTTGCTGTGCTGCTGCGTTTGCTCCTCTCGGCATATCCCCTGATTCATGATAGAAATAACCTCCTCCTCTGCTCACCAGCGTAGAGCGAAAGGCACAGCCCTATTGCCCCCATGGCCTGCAGGGAAGTTGCCATTGTCCAATCCGATGTTTCTTCGTGCCCCCTGTTCTACTGCCCCCCTCCCTTTCCCAGGTCCGGTTGCTTACAGCAGCTTTGAGCAGCTCTAGGGGGGGTTCCGTGATATGCAAACAGTTATTTACGCATACCTTTCAAGTGGCACCAGAGAGCGGCCAACACAAACAAAACTGAACTGCTATGCATAGCACCCAGCGGAGCAGGCAGACAGCACCGAGCTTTCAGCTGGAGTGGTGCCCGGTAGAAGGTCCCTAGGTGAGGGCACGGTTTCCGTTTGCTTCCCCCCGCAAACATACATAACCGAGTCTCGTCCCTTTTCGCTGTAACATGTCATGAAGGCTGGATGGAAGCAACCTTGCACTATGCACGTCCGTGGTGCTGTAAGCACACAGGTAGGTGTGTGCGGTGTTGTTTATTGTCTGCGTGTGTGGGTGTGTGTTTCTACACTGCAGCCTACCGCCAGCATGAACGACGGACAGGGCAAAATCGACGCCCATGGCTTCTGCACGTAGTGTGCTTTTGCCACTGCCCACCGAAAGCTGCTGGCGATCCCTCGCCGTTTCCGGAAAGAAGCCTTGTCTCTTTTCTTTGTCCAGACCGCATCAGCAAGGCGCTGCTCGCTTCTGCGAAGTGCCGTCATGCTTCCTCTGCGATGACCCTGCTGTCTCTGCGCCCTTCGGCAAAGCTTGACGGCATCGACAGAGTAGGCAATAGCGCGTGTGGACACTTTCCTCGTCATATCGGGTGCTTGCACTGAACAAGATGTATTGCTCTCTGTCCTGATTAGCAGGGCGTCCAACTGCCGCTGTGGCGCGCAACAAAGCCGACGGTCAAATGCGGGGCGATTAGCGATTGCTGCAGTTTAGTTGCCGACGCCATCTTGCCGCCACTCTCGCCCGACAAATATCCCGCGCGAAAACGGTTATCTGTACTCCCGTGTCTCTCCGTGGCTGGGTGTTACAGCCGCAGAGATGCGCATAAGCCAACCCAGCGGTTCTTTAGGTCCTTCCTTCTTTTGCACACCAACAGGTAGCGTGCTCCCAGCGGGGGACGCACTGCTGTAACTGCTGTACACAAACGCGTGTGTTCGCTATTGCAGTTGTTCGTCCTGCTGCTCTCCCTCCCCAGGGAAATCTTTTGTTATTTTCTCAGTGTAACACATCGATTCCATCTCTATCTTATAGAAAGAGTGTATACGTACCCCCCCTGAAACCACTCTCGGTAACTTCTATTTACATCGTACCTCGTGGGTATGTGGGTACATACTATACTCGCCAAAATCAAGCCAATATTTTCATGGTCCTTGGCACAACAGTATTAATAGCATTTACACGCTGTGTACTCGCCATGTGCTGGCTGATTTGGGTCACTCTATTTAGCATACGAGGGTGGAACACTGCCCAGCAGTCGGTCAAGTGGCCACATCTCTGATTTTTGATGTTCGGAGGTGGACTCATTTGGTGTTGATATGGTCCGTCCTGGACTTTCTTTCCAATTTTGGTTAATATTCATAACTTTCGAAATATTTCGAATTGGAGGGAATTTCAGCCACGCTAGTGATCCCCACATCAAGGACAACAACGAAGGTTTCAACCAAAGAAAAAAATGCCCAAGACTAATTTCAAGTCATTGTTGCCAAAAAATATCAAGACTGGAGAAAAACCTCGGGTTTTCACAATATGTGGAACATCTCATTACATTTAGTTTTTTTGAAAATTCGAAAGAAGCGGTACCTGCGGAATTTCGAGAGGAATCGTTTGATGCACTCTATTTTGAAATCGTGAAGTTGGGTCTCGCAGAAGCAGTTGAACAATTCGCCCTTCCAGAATCGTTTATGGGGCATAACTTCGTTGTTTCTTGATATTTTAAAATTTTGGAAGACGCGGTACCTGGCAAATTCTAAGGGCTGTCGAAATCTGGTCTCAGATTTCCTCTCTGAAAAGTAGACCCTCCAGCAGAAGTCGAACAAAAATTTCTAGTTATTTCGAAGTACAAAGTCAGCGAATATCTAAAAAACAAAAGTGGCACTTTAGATTTCTGCGCCTGGAGACTGGGCTTCTGATGGTGTCTTTGAAATTCCTAACAACCACCCCCACCCCGAGAAAACCGTGCCTAAGTGCAGGGTAGAAAAGTGGCGTGGAAGCCCCAACCGGACCATATATTGGGGGTAGGCTAGGATCACTGGGCGTGAAAGTAGTGAATCTGGATCGAATAAAGATGTGGGTGACTTTCGAAGGCATACCATCACATTGTGCAGATCACAATGAAATCTAGCCACAAAGTTCAGTTGGATTCATGTCAAATAACACAAAGGCTAATTGGTAGTCAGGCAATTTGGGTAACTTTACGTTGGCGGAACAACCTGCGTCTAGATGACCTCCCTGGATTTCACAAGAAGGCCTGGAAAGCCGTAGGAGACACAAAAGGTTGTTGCCGAGTTCACGGCCGGTCCTCCGTCGTTGCCGCCGCTAAAAAGGTGGGCGCCTCTTGGGCGCTTGTTGTTCGTGCACAGGAGGTGGTGGGATGGGGATCGGTTCAAGTATTTGAGGGCGTGAGGTAACAATATTTTCCGCTTGACTGCACGATAGGTACATATTGAGCCTCTCTAGCATAAACGACTTTGCGAATGAGACGGGGCAAACCATCGGTTTGCAGTTGCTATTCTCTCCCGCAAAGGTTTAAAGATAACAACCCCAGACCCCCGTGAATATCCCGAATCCCTCCACCGTCCTGTTACCCGCAACGCCATGCGGTTTGCGCGCAACATTTTCCTCACCACAGCCGGGAACAGAATACGAAGTGCCGAGCCCCGCCTATCAGGGCGGCGCGACCAAGTACAACCAAGAGAGCACGGTGCGGTGTGTCCTCGGGCCAAGGCCCCCGCCACAGCAAGCAATAACAGCGGTGAAACGGAGGGTGGTGGCGAATGGAAGGCAGTGGAGTGGTGGAGGGTTGGAAGTAGCTCTGGGGGCGCGCCGCCGTCAAGCCTTCTCCGCTGTCAAACACAGCAGTCAAGCGCATCGCCAGTTTTCGCTAGACAGAGAGAAAGCAGGGCTCTTGCCAAGACCAGCGTTCACCGGCGATGGCAATGTTGCCGGAGCCGCTAGGCACAGGATCGTCGGACGCCAACGCTCCGCGGCCGGCGCCGTTAGACACGTATTCGCCGTCAGCGCCGTATGGGGCGCTAACCAGCCCGAGCTCTGGCTCGAGCAAGACTCCGGGGCACGGTATGGAAGAGTTGAACTTTTCGACGGCAGAAGAGGGAGACTTCTCCAAGGCAAGCCGTGCATACCAGAGCCTTTTTGTTTGGTCTCTTCGGATTTCCACTGGTAGCAGTTTGTTGTTGTTGATGTCTTGGTGTTTGGAAGTTGGTGGCGGCCTGAAGAACACGATTCGTTCCCACTGCCGAGAATTCGGTGGGGTTTTCGAGCTGTACGAGGCTTTTGTAGTTCAGGAGTTGCCATGCCTCATTCCCCGCGCTTTGCTCTTGTGGACGAAATGTTAATATTTACCGACTCCTCTCTTTGTGTTTTTTTTGTTCCGGTTGCTGCACAATTTTCATGAGGTGCTACATACAGCGCGCGTTGTCTCGAACGAGGACCTTCATCTCTCCCAATCACGCGGACTGTCCTTCTCACCCTCCCCCCGCGATGTGTTTCCCTTCTCTTGGCGCTTTGTGCTCGCTGCCACAGGAGAACGGAGATGCCCTGATAATGGAGAATGGCGTACACGAGCCGGAACGCGGGGCGGGTTACGGGGTTCATAGTGTCTCGGCTGGAAGCAGCAGCAACGCGGAAGCGGAAGCAGGAGCAAGAACAGGAGCGGGCGCAGCAGCGGGAGCTGGAGCTGGAGCAGCAGCAACGTCAACAGCAGCGGCGCCAAGCGTTGCGAAGTACGTTAATCACGGCCACAAAGGTGGTAGCGGTGGCAGCAACGGCAGCGTGGCCGGTAACCGGTCTGCCGAGGGAAGCGGTAGTAGGCTAGTAGCAGCAGCCGCTCGGGAGATGCTTGTCCCACCAACTCCACCGGGGTTGGAGAGAAAACCATCCAAGGGGGCAGGGTCGGGGGGTTGGTACGGCGGAGGCCAGACTCCCCGAAGACGAGGAAGACTTTTGCGCTCGTCCAGCCGCGCGGAGCCGAGCCCCCGTAGCGGTGGTGGTGGTGGTGGTGGTTTCCGACCGGGGCCAAGAAGCCCTGTTCCGCCGCGTAGCGCGGGGAGGGCGAGGGCACGCAGCGTCGACCATGCTGGCGGTGGTAGGAGCCGTCGAGAGGAGCGACTGCCGCGGCAGTCGCTCGACGGCACGTCGGCGTACTTCATGAAGACCCCGACGTCGGCGCGCGTTACGGTCGGGTCGTACTTCGTGGGCGAAAGCGGCGGCGAGGAGAAGGACGGCGGCGACGCCTCCGTTGCTGGCAGCGCGCACGAGGAGCGAGCACCGTCGGCATCGTCTTTCATGTCTTCCTCCTCCTCGTCCTCCTCCTCTTCGTCGTCGTCGAGGGCGGGAATGCACGGCGGGGACAACAAAAGCTCGCCCCATCCACCGGTGCAAGACGAAGGGGGCGCCGGCGGTGGCCCAAGCCCGGGGGGAGGGGTGGGGTTTGGGGGCGACGGCAGCGGTGGTAGCTCGGCGTCAGGGGGCGACGGGGGGCGGTCACCAGGGCTCAAGGGGGGCGGCGGAGCGGGGGCTAAGGGGGGGAGCGACGTCGCCATCGTCGCTGGGGAAGGGTCGAGGGGGAGAAAAGGGAACGAGGTTCTTGCGGTTGGGCCGAACGGGGAAACGGTGATTGAGATGAAGGCCACGCCGGGTTTGCAGCAGGGAGGGGTTCCGCAGGAGCAGGAGCAGGAGGAGCAGCAGGGGGGGGTATTGGACCCTGTTGGCCCGGGGCGGCCGCTGGGCGAGGTGCGGTTTGGGAGGTCGAGGACGGATTTGCAGAACATGCCGCCGCCGAGCTTGCTGCGCCAAACCAGCAAATACCTTCACGAGGACCTCGCCCTTGCGAAACGGCGACAAAACCAGTGAGTTGTGCCCGCTCAGGTGCCCTCGTGTTGACCTG